TTCGAAGCGCTCCTTCTGGAATGTTGGACGGCACCGCCTCCTTGAGTGCATTTACCAGTGGAACAAAATGTGAAAGAGTTACCTTTGCTCAGGTACGCGTATGACCTCTTCCAACAAAACTGCCAATAATTCTTCGTGTAGCGCGTAGTCAACTGCTTCACCCATTTTTTCTCGTTTTCTACGAAATATACCCCTGCACCATTCAAAGGCGTTAAAAAGAGAGTTTCCCAGAAAAGAATATTATTTTTTAAAAGAAAGAAGGGATTCGCGGAAAATGTGGGGAATGTGAGCGTATTAAATTGTTCTAAAGAGGAGGGGCGTAACCTGGTAAGCGGTGTGGTATTTGTTGATGTGTTTTTATCCTAACTGCGGAACTGTTTTGTAAATCCGTGTCATTTGATTTGATACGTTTGTTTTCTTAGCACTCAAAGATTTGAGACAAGTTGTCACTTACCTTGCTAAGAGTTCGTAAGGTGAAGTCTAAACGTGATTTGTATTATGCAGGCTCAAGTTGAAGAAAACTATTTTCTTTTTATCCTTTTTGCAGCGATTTGCGTCAATTCCAAAAGTGCTGGCTGCAGTACGTCACTCTGTCGGCAACAAGCGACAGGACGCTATGAATGTCTGGATTGAAGAACTCAAGGCCGATTATTTTAGAGTGTGTCTTAGGGAACTGAAAACATTCGATGGAAAGCATCAGAATTTAAAAGTGGCAAGTTTGATTGAATCTGTTTTACATCATAGAAACATATGTAGAAATATTTTGGTTTTGTTCATTGTTTGGTTTTCTCTGGATAAATGTTGAAGGAACAGAATTCAGAAAGTTTCAGATAATGAGGCAAGTGTTTCAGGGCCTTCAAACTTCTGTTAAACTAAATAAGAGCACTTTTGGCGAGTTGTTTTTCTGACTTGATTAAAAAAATTCCATTTAACTCCTAGGACTGGCTTGCGTTTACACACAGAGGTGTTCAACTTACATTTCAAGGAAAATTACTATTTGAAAATGGCGGAGCTCCTCGGGAACAAGACAATTTCGCCTTTTGCAGGGTAAGTCGAAGGCTCGATTTCATTTTATGTAACTCAAGACTGAACACCTTTTAGTTGACCTGAAGAAAGAAATTTTAGCCAGCCAAAGAATATCAGAGTTTAATATTTGCTCTGTTTTGTAATACTAAATTCTATTGTTTACAGATACACAATTTTACCAAAGAGTTTTATGCACCCCCTGTGGTCATAGTAACAGTTAATCATCTGTACGATAGCAAGAATGTATATTCCATCAAGCCAGAGAACAATGTTCTTAATACTTGGATTGAGGTACAGTGCTATAACTCATCCCTCTATGAGTATAACTTTCTTTTAGATCATTAAGACCACTTTCAACCACAGAAATCTTTGATGCTCAAAGTTTGAACACTTACTTAAGATACGAGCCTGATAAAATCCACTTTAAAATTATAAGGCAGGGGTCGCACTTACGCTTTTGGTTCATGTTTACATTGGACATAAAATCTGTCATCGCGTGCTTGCGACAAGTGCGACCCCTTTTGTCGCAACCAGACATAACTATGTCCGAAGGACCTAAAGGTAAAAAAAAAGCCGATGTCCTACCTCGAGGCAGGCCATATCTCGTCTTATCGCCTTAAAATAACAATTTTTGTTTTTCTTCTGTCGCAACGTCGATCAAATCTGAAATACTAGCAAAAATTTGGATTTTCGCAATTCTGCAAAGACAACACGTGTGCACAGCTAGCTATCGGTTCAATATTTTAGTCACAGGTTTTCTCGACACACGTTTTATCTGGTCCCTATGGCGAATTTCAACCCATACCAATTTACAAATTTGCACTATTCACCTGATTATTTTCAGTATGGGAATGGCTTGTTTTCACCCTTTGGCTCGCAGATATTTTCCCATTTTTTCGCATCCGTCGACGTCGGTTTAAAGCGGCAAGAGCCAACATTTGCCGTTGGCGAGTGTTGTACAATGCGTACAAATCAATAAGGTTTTGTACATTGAACAAATTAAACAGAGAATGAAGAAATGTCGCTAATAAAACTAGCACCAGCTTCATGTCTACAAAGTTTTATTTGGTGCTCTTTTC